CATGAATACTCACAGCCTTACATCTATTCCTCACATTATCTCCTCCTTGTCACCCTCACCTCGAACAACCAACTCGTCGTTTCCCCCTTTGCATTCCACTCAATGCCCTAGCCTGGCACATGATTTCCCCACTTGAGCTTCTCGGTGTATGCCCAATCCGTCTCTACTTCCTTTCAATGAGTATTTGTTGGGTGATAGGTTGTTGCTTCGTTGGTTGGTTGCCAGCCAACCAGCCAGAGTTCTTTGATACTTATTCTTATTATTCTGACCATGTGATCTTCAGTATCGAGTGAGCGTGGGTGGTAGCTGTTGATGAATGTGTGTAGTTAGTTGGAAGTGGTTTCCGTGACGCGCCAAATTTGTGAACCATTATATAGAAGCACTGACTTGACTTGACTGAATTGGTGTTGAAGATCTGTATCTTGTTCTTTGTGCTGAGTACAGTAGATTTCCACACTGATTTCAGATTAGTGAAAGCCTGTCTTGCTGTCTTTTTGATCCTCGCTTTCACATTCTCGTCTGTGCCTGTGCACCCTGTAGTTGAAACGATGCTGCCTTGCCTAGGTAGGTGTAGGTGAAAGAGACTACTTCCTCTGGATTTCTCCCGTTTATGGTGATTGGTGCCTGTTGTTGTTGTTGTTGTTGGTTGGGTATCTTCATCACCTCTGCCTTCCTTACATTCATTCACTTGAAGTCCCATTTTCGCTGCCTTGCCCCTTCCGTCAACTTGTTGTTTTTCGCCTGTAGATCTTCGAGTTTATGAGATAGCACATTATACATCATAAATCATCATTGATGGCGGAATTGAAATCTTCTGGGGTCTTTTCATCGATCAAACAGTGTATGCCCGAATTCTCGCTCTTCATGTTTTGCTGCATAATCTAGTCGAGTCGACCACAATCAGGAACATCATGAGTAATAGTATGAGGCAACCTTGTCCTACTCTTTCCTATCTTCACTCCAAAAGCGTCACTGAGCTTTTCATTGTGGACCACTTGGCATTTGGCGTTTTCATACAGGTGTTGAATGAGGTTGATAAAGGTTTGTGGCACTAAAAGCGTAGTGTTGAAGCAGCTGCCTGCCAAATTGCTTCTCGGTCGAAGCTGTCGAATGCCTTTTCAAAGTCGATGAACTTGAGGTGAGGTAGAGAATTGACTGTCATTGTATGTTCTGTTCTATGATGATGCTTTTGATGCAGTATGTTACTGAGAATTTGTAATACGTGGTTAACCCGGTTCATTAGCCTAACAATTTGGTGTTTGAAACGATTAGTGCCGGGTTCGATTTCTAGGTGGAACATCATCATTTAATGGGAAACAAGTACATTTAGGTAAGGAGTTCAAAATAGGATGAAGTACAAGTCTCGGATTCCATCGTTAGCCATCAAGTTGATTAATTGTGTACAGTTGGCTACGTAAGTGAAGTAGTAAAGATTTATGCTTTGAAGAATTTTTGTAATTATTAACCGGTGTTGTTATCATTATTCAGTTTATAGATTTGTGGGGATTTATTTATTGACTCCAGGTTGGTTTGCACCTCGAACCGACATTAGTTGGAGAACCACTGAAAATCTGGGGCGGGTGGACTGGAAAGCTGTTTCGTCCTAGTATGGGAATCCTCAGCACTACGCACCCATGACTCCACCAGTGCTTACTAATGACTTGGTTCGAGATGAGATTCACGAAGTTCCAATGAGAATTCGTGACCTGTGACGATGACAGAAATGGATGAAAGGACAACCACTCAAAGACGGTACTGGATGGTGACTCAGTGGTGATGTGTTGGCCACAGAACTTGAAGGGCTTGAGTTCGATCCCTAGTGGGCAGGATCATAGGTGCTCGCTAGTGAGGAGTCCTGAATCAAGACGAAACAGCTGTCCAGTGCTCCTAGGATTCCAGTGGTTCTGGAGTTGACGTCTGTTTGTGATAGTTACTGACCTGTTATCATTATTAGTAGATTAGTGTAATACAAGTGGAAACATGACAGTATTTATTGTTTCCCAACGAAATTTACTGGATAGCATATCATTTAGATAAATCTACTTCAGAAAACTGGTCAGTTGTTGAGATGAAAGAAGATCAATTTTTGTTTATAATTTGGGATTATTTGTGACTCCTTACTCGTGACTGATTTGTTAACAGCTGACAGAAATGATAAGAAAATTAGTGTCTTATCTTGTCAAAGATACATCCAACCGTGTTAAGCGCCAACTTATCCCTCATTACTAACCTGTAGGTCCCTTCTTTTTCTCTGAAGTCTAGTGATACTGTTTCTGTTTCAGCACACTCTATTGGATACTTTCATCTCAGTCAATAAAGATTATATTTAAGGTGACCGTTTTTCTTCCAAACATATTAAGGTGGCTTAATCCTCCTGGTGACTAATGCTCTAATAAACTTTGAAACACGTCTTCAATAGATCTTATAAATGGACTTAAATAATGTTGATGCATCTATTTTACGCTACTGTGGGGCTCAGGTGATTCTTCCCAGTATCATTTGGGTTAGATGACTCCATTTATTTCAGAAACCACCTTGGAATGTGTTCTGGGACTTTTATTTTCAATAACCGACGATTCCACTCTATGTATGTGAGACCATACATATATTTCACTCGATAAATACAAGGGTTTCGATGGGTATATTGGCTGTGAATTTTCACTTAACTGAACCTTAGGCACACAAAAGTTTTTTTTGATGGTGGCGTTAGGTCTATCTCCGATCTTGAAGTTATTCTCATCACTAGTACATGATAACTTGGTGAATACACCTTTCTTTGCAACAGAGTAGACAGTGTTTCTCAATGTCCTCTCAATTTTATACCGACATATGTATTTCGATGGATATTTGTTGTCGATCAACGTCTTCGTCAATAATCTTGTCTCTTTTTTTCATTTAAATACTGTCCTTTCCATTTAGGCTTTCTGGTTAAAGATGTACTATTTGGTACTTCGTTTATTCCGCTTAAAACTGAAGTAGCACAACATAGATCATCATTTACGATTAGGATATTATCCAAATTAGTTTTTATCAGATGGAACTTTTTCGGTCAAATCGTCAGATAACTTTTAAACTTGCAATAAACAGTTACTGAATCGCCTAATACACACTACTAGTTTTGATGGATAGTGGCTAGCAGTGCAATCCAGGATGCGTATTTCATCCTATTTGGGATTCTTCAGCAGGAATGTACTTGCCTCCCAGTGAGTGATGTTGTTCCCACCGGGACTCGGGAGCGATCACTTCAAACGCTAGAGTATTATCCACTACACCACCGAGCCACAGTAGCCACTTCTTGTGCAACGGGTATAGTTTCTGTGTTATTGCTGGTATTACACCGTCGTTGATTGGACTGAATTGATCGGTCTCTGTTGGCATATGGGCTCCTGTGCGGATGCCTCGATGCTACCTGTGTTCTAATTATGTATTCTAAGATGCAGTTTAGACAAATATTATTATCATCAGCGTGCTGAAAACTATTTACTTCGTGATAAAAGAATAATTTTATTAAGTTAACGAAAAAATGTAATGTAGGGACTACCTTCAGTTTTGGTGTTGAAAACTTATGTAATTACATTTGCGATGGATGATATGAAACGAAGAGAAACAAGTATTCCAATGAGGAGACTGTTCCTGGGGATTTCAACATCGTACAATCGCAAATTTATATAATTCTTATGTTAACAATTGTAGATTGTTAACAATCCTTGGTAAAACGTGTTAATAAAGAAATAAAGTCAACATATGAGCTGTCATTATAATCCATATTAATGGCTAATGATGAAAATTAGTCATATATGACTAGAGTTGCACAAAGATTACTTAGTTTGGATAAGAAGCTGTTGAACATGACAAAAACGCGATTAATACTGGATGATGATTCAAGGTGAAATGAAAATTTGGGCCGCGGGCCTCGGGATTTGAAGCAGCAACCACTAAGTTTCTAGCTTGACGGTCACCTACTGTGGCCTGAACTTTCATTTAACCTTCAAATATCACCCAGTATCAATACAAGTATACCAAACCATGGCTCAGAAAATCAGTCTGAAAATATAATTGGAATATCGAGTGGGATCAGAAAGGATTATGAGAGACCAGAATGGATAGTATATTGGATAAGAAGTGAACAGCGTACAACGAAGGATGTAATTTCAAACACTGAAAATTAAGTCCACGCGGAAAGAAGAGTTTGAAAGCCTTCTACTGCATAGGAAGCTGGTTACGCTTTATATGGATACCAAGAGCTATGGAGATACAAGGAATTCAGAGACATGTAGCCTTTGGAAGGAGTCTTTTCATCAACTTCAGTTCGTAATATATACACTAATTTCCAAACAACTTTGAACAAGGAGTTTATTGAGATGGAATGACCACTTCTACGTGTGCATTTCAATTTACTTGCTCTTGTAGAGTGAGAAATATAGGCTGTTCGATGCCAGGATCACCGAAAATGGTACAACAGCACTATTCTCCACGGTGACAAGAAATACCTCAACTGAACAAATTGCGTATACGTATCATTTAGTCCGTGAAAAGACCTTCCAAAAGCAGTATATCTTCGTATTCTTTGCATCTTCATAACTCTTTCCATCCATATGAAGTAACTTGAGCTCCGTATCCAATATAAACCTTTCAAACTTTTTTTCTTTCGTGGTCTTCATTTTCAGTCTTTGAAATTACCTCCTTCTTTGTATACTATTCACCTTTTACACAGTATACTAGCCAATATCGTCTCTCTCTGAATTCTTTCCCATCATTGAGGAGATTCTCTTCATATCCTTTTAGTTCTCTTTCACATATAGATAAAATACTCTACTATGGTAGATTCAACGTTTTACATCTTTGCAACCTTATGGAGCGAGTGTTGATGAAATGGTTTGAACTGACAATCGAATGTCCTCCAGTAAGTATGAATACCATGTAGACAAGTAAAAGTCATTTGGGTTAAAATTTGGATAAAACAGAATCATATAATTTATGAAAAAGTTTATTCAACTTACCAAAAACCTTTCCTTATGCGTATCCGTTTCTTTTCTATATTTATTATTGACTGGTACCTCTGTCAGTGATCTCTGTTTAACTCCATACTCAGTCTTCCCGTCAAATTCGGAGGATGTATCCAATTTCTTACGAGATCCAACTCTTTTTGACCATGATATTGGCATTGAAATTGATGTAGATGATCCAATTGAATTTCTGTTCAATGACTTACTTTTCACTTCATGAGTATCATGCAACTTCATCTTTATACCGAAACAATAATGTGATGATGTCATTGAATCGTCTGTAGATATTTCAACATTATCAACATTCCTATTGGTTGGCTTACATTTTTCTTCTTGCTCCATCTTTTGTCACATTCATCAATTTTACCTTTGATTTAAAAAAAAACAGAAGGTAAACTTTAACTATCTTTCAGCACAGATCAGAGAATCTCTTTTCTTTTCTATTCGATATTCAACGGTGGGTAATATTACTGCTTCACTTAGAGTATATAGATGAATTATTATGCTGGAGGAAGACGCTGACAAAATGCAGGATCTTCCGAATGCATTGAGTACGTTTGGCACTTATCAAATAGAATATGATGATCCAAGATTAGTTCGCAACTTCTCCCGGCTTAATCATAAGGAGTGAAATCGTGGAATATGTCGACCACTTCACTTACATGAGTTGCATCAGCCTGAATGGGCTAGTTTCTGGAATTTACCAATTTGCATCATCTCTGGCACCGATTGACAAGATATCCGATTATCTATCAAAGGACGATTAGACTGCGCAGCAGTCCATTCTATCCTGTTACGCTGTTGTGAGACATGAATGTTAAAAGTAAAAGATTTGAAGCGGTTACAGGGTTGTGATCACAGGTGTCTCCATAGTATTGTTCACCTTCAGCGAATTCAAGGTGTAAGCAGTACTGAAGTCAGGCAAAAAGGTACTGGGTAAGACAGGCAAGTTGATCAATATGACTGTAAACCTTCATCTGGCATGGATATATACTGTGTCTACCCAGCCACCACCTACCTCTATGCGCCAAGCTGATAAAAGTTGGATCATGTTGGAAGAGGATTTAGGATGGCGAGATCAAGGCGTGGTACCACTTCATAAAGTGTCTTACTGTTGGCATGAGTTGTGTAGGCAGATGTAGACTACCTGACAGGGGTCCCCAAGACAACTGGAAACAGTAGTTGAAGAGTCTTCTTGGAAAAACTGAAAATCAATCACAATGGAATAAATGTATTCACTTTATAACGTCTTCTAAAGCTCAAATATTGACACTAACATTTACCGTCGAATTATTTATTCTCTCATGTAACTTAATCTACATTGATGTCAGTCTTTTCCGTCCGCTTGTTCTCTGTACACTACTGTGAAATGTTACATGTTCAACTCTGATCAATTTTGGATATTTATTGCTTGGAATTTCTTCATTCTCTTGAGTACTCATCTTTTTGTTGCACCCTTTTGAGTCGCATTTTTATTCAATGATTCAATTTCGTACTGCTTTCACTGTTTAGAAAGTTAAAATTAGACGGTGAACAATCTTTTCAGTATCATGGCTCATGTGTCCGGTTTCATTCCGCTAGTAAATCTCAGGTTTCTTGGATAATTTTGAAAAAATATTCACATGTTGAATAATTTCGAAATTTTCTTCTTTTAAACCCTTCTCTATTTACGCAACACTGTTCTAGATTCAAGCTTCAATTTGGTGAATAGGTAAACACTAATCTCACCATAATTTATTTGACATTTTTCGGTGTAATACCGAATATGTTATCAGTTACTGGAAATCGAAACGTGCTCAGCAACCACGTGCATACTGGTGCCATAGGCACTGAGCAGCACCTATTGTATGAAGCCTAGTGATACTACTTTTCTGTTCATACCGTAGTAGGTGGACCAGGAGTTCGAACCCATGACCTTATGGTCGAAAGTCGACTGTTTAAGCCAATGAATCACAGCTCCATATTATTGGCTACTATTAACTTATAAATCGTTCCTTAACACACTTTACTTTTATTTTCTATGAAACTAATAAGACAATGCTTCTTACCTTACCTTCAAATGAGAGTTTTTCATGAAAAAACGGATAGGAGTTCTGATAAAGTTACAGATAGACTATACTAAAGTGATTTCAGTTAATATTAAACTGAAGTGCTTAGATTATTTGTTAACTACTTCCACCCTCCGCTTACTAAACAGTAGTAGTATGTTTATTGGTCAAAATTTTGGTACAGAAAAATATGGTAGCAGAGGTCCTTTGTCAACTGGCTACAAGTATGTTGGTATTTTTTTGTTACTTCAGGAATGCGCAATGAGAAATTAAATTTGCTAAGAAAATATGTATTGTTGATGAGTGCAGAAATAAGTGACTTTTAAAGGGCCACCCTAGCAACTGCTGAAATAATCAAGTACATTTTTTTATTTTGATGAAAATCTGCCTTTCCTGCTAAAATGAAGAGATGTAATTGGTTATTTCTATAGTTGGTAGGGTGGGCTTCAAAGTCGCCAGCATAAACATTGCTGACTGACTGACTGATTGATTGACTGACTGACTGACTGACTGACTAACTGACTGACTGACTGACTAACTGACTGACTGACTGACTGACTGACTGACTGACTGACTGACTGACTGACTGACTGACTGACTGACTGACTGACTGACTGACTGACTGACTGACTGACTGACTGACTGACTGACTGACTGACTGACTGACTGACTGACTGACTGACTGACTGACTGACACTAAGTCCTAGCGCCCAGCTTCAAAGATATTATGAGACAGCTGAGTCATCCACCTTAGCTTATCTATCACAGTTCACAATTTTTACACATACTTGGATTAACACTTAAGACTCGATACGTTAATAAGCTACCGTCAGATGACAGTTACAACTTTTCTAGGGTAATATCAGATTAGAATTTGACTGAATGTATACCAAAGAATGCACAGTAGGGGTTATCATAGCCGATAATATTAATGATTTTCGTAATGCCGAGAAAAATGTTGTATGTAGTTGCCAAGCCCAGTCCAGAAACCCTGAATTTCAACACTTGTCTCAGTCAGTCATAAATGACTTTTTAAAGACACTGGGAAGGTTATGTGATTTCAGACTTAACCCCTTCGTATAGTTTATTCTTGAAGATGGTGTCCGTATTAACAGGTGTTAGTTACTACTCACAGTTGATTGAAGAAGATTGCTCAACGGAAAAGCAATAAGATCACTGCGCTTCTTGCCTATGTTGTAATGTGAGTGAAAAGTATACCTTCAATTCTATGAATTTGGATGAAAACTAAACGAAATTTCCTACACACATAAAAAGTTGTTTTATTTCTGTTAAATGTTACAACTAGCACAGAAGTTTTGTAGCAAAAATATTTAACAAATCGATGAATAAAAGAATTTGATCTTTGTTCGCTTGGGAAAGATTTGTAGCTTGTACAAGAACTTTGAACGATTAGTTTACGCATATGTTACATCTGTGTGTGCAGTAGTGACGTAAACTGCTTGATAGGAATGAGTGATAATAGGTATCAGCAAACTATAGGGTACGTGTTTCGTCCTGTTTAACACTTCTCAGCTGGATGCATCTGCCTTCCAGTGAGTGATGTTATTGCCAGAACCCATCGCTCCAAACGTCAAAGTGTTTTCCACTAGGCTATCGAGTCGAAGTAGCTACCCCTTGTTTGACGGGTATCGTTTGGTATAACAGCCTGTGGTCTGGAAGATAACTCTCTAAGTTAGAGCCCCAGTGAGAACACAACCATTTACTGGGATACAAGTGGATGCGCCTAATGAGTCACAAATAATAATAAGAAGAAGAAGAAGAAGAGCGCATTCTCGATTCCAGTGATAGCCACTATCCATCATTACCATCGAAATGAAACTAGCGGCAATTTTGAGGTATCCGTGCAGTACCCAGTATCCCTGTCTACTTGGACGTCATTATCCAAAAACCTGGGGGTTTGGTCTTTTCTTCAGATAGAAAGCATTATAACAGCGCAATCACTTCGATCGGAACAGTATGTTAACGATCCCTCAAAACTGATCATTGTTCCTTAAAACCTTCCAACTTTTGGGCTTCAAATCATCTATATTTGCCAGGTGACTGGGTCTATATTAGATTGTTTATTTGATATAGCACACAGTGACACAGTAGAACTTATTGCTCATATTCATATCGAAGTGATCATATGACTTTCAGACTTCCTGTACACAGTCCAACAGTTCATTCATTTCTTTGAACAGAATTAAACTTTTCCAGATATCTGTAACATCTGTCGTTTGATAGGCTGACGTTTCCAATACTGGGTGATGATTCAAGAAGGGAAGAGAACCGTAAGCCACTGGTTCGATTCCTGTCAAAACCCAGGTTTTCATCTTAACTTTAGTCACCACCTGATATTACTTTCATTTTGCGTTGCCTTTTGCGCGTATATCTGAGCAATAAGCTGATCTTCAGCTAGTATTTTCAAAGTATTAAGCATAATTTTTGTTTTAATGAAAGATAATGACTACCAGTGGAATCTAGGGTGCATGTTTCGCCCTATTTAGGACTCATTGGCTTGATATGCCTGCTTCGGAGTGACTGATGTTGTTCCAACTAATACTTGAGTCTGGGATTGATCACTTCAAACGACACAGCGTTATCCGGTGGGCCATCGAGTCACAATAGACACTTCTCGAATTATCTTGTCGTTGATTAGACTGAATCAATCGGTCTATATTAGCATATGGTCTCCTGCGCGAATGCCCTGGTAGCACCTGTCTTTCAATTTCCTATAAATGATGAGTAATGGCTAGCAGTGAGATTTGTTAGACTTGTTACTGATTATTTCTGGTGATAAGTGGAATAATCCTTGGGTTCGACGTCCAAAATCAGTCTACAGTGAGCAACTGAATGAGTATGGTTCACATACTAGATTTCAGTTTTTGCTTTTAACTTCTCATTGTAAAAGTAAAGACCATTGAGAAAAATAGACATACCAGATACAGGTGTAAAAAGGCGAACATAAATAACCTTTGTATCAAGAACAAAACAAGGTAAACTGCCAACAAATACTTACCAGTAGAAGAGAGAGAGAAAAAAATTATTTTTGTACAAAGAATAATGAAGTGAGCATAGATTAATGAATAGGTTTTGCTACCACTCTTATTAATAATATGGGCGAAAAGAAACTATGACTCACAGTTATTGTCGAATTGAAAAAATGAAAAAATCAGTTACCACTAGCTGTTAAGCTTAACATTGTACTAGCCATCAGCCTGACTACTCATATACTATCCATTGTATGACCAGTTCAAGAGATTTTCACTTTACCCTTCGGGATAATTAGTCAATATTCTAGAAGCATTTCATTCCTGAT